ATCACGATCAGTGGGTTCACTGACACCAGAACCCACCCTAATGGATTGAGAGAGTCAGAGATCAAGTTCTCCCTCCCTTCAAATTTTAAATCCTCCCAATACGGAAGTCGACACAAACTGCCACCCACCGTGATCCTTTATTGAGCACCTCTCGATCATACTCGTCCTGCAGCTGCTTCAGCTTGTGAGGCACGTACTCCTTGCACACTCTCAGAGCATCTTGCCACATGTTGGATTGCTACCAACCAACAAATTGGGAAAAATCATCATAATTGTGAATATTTCATCAAAATATTACACCTTAAGAATCCTCATCAGCGGATACAAATGCAAACCGAGTCGGGAAATTGCCCCAACATTTTGCATGGGTAACGTTTTGAACCAATGAAGGAGCTTCTGTACAAAAGGAATTTTCCTTTTGGGAGTTGAGGGAGTGCCCTTAAAGTCCGGGGCAATCTCGCTACTGACTGAAAGCCTAATTCATATCCCTGGGCCGGATTTGGACCTGGGTTGTAGAGGTGGACGGTGATGAAAGGGTATCTCTGTGCTTTCCTAGCTTCCTGGAGTCCTAAAGATGGATGTTTAGTTTTGGGGAGCCTATTTCCAAAACTGGAAACCACTCACAAAAGTTAACATCTACAAACCACACTGGAAATGGTGTGGAAGTTAACAAACTTTTTAAAAAAATGAACTACTTATTTTCAAGCATCAAGTAAGCCTTGTCTTTCCTAGTGAGACATCAAACAAGAGCATTGCTACTTTGACAAGTAAGTTTTACATAACTTGTCAACAGGAAGTAAGATATATGTGACCCACCATCCCAAAACCAGGCTGAAGTGGGTAACTTCATAACTGCGAAATAATGGAACTTCCACTGTTCAGATTTTCATGGGAGTTTTACAGCTATCACTACCCGTAAAAAGCTTTCTACGGACAGAATTTGGATTTAACATGGATCACTTCAAAGTGTTAGAAAAAACTGAACTAGAGTAATTGCCCAACATCACAAATACCGACTTCAGCCTGGTTTGGGGGACGGTGGTTCACATATAAATCGACTTTCATGCGGAAAGCATGGTTCCCTTGCATGTTACCTACCTTGTAGTATTTGATAGCTAATTCTGGCCGCTGGGCGCGCAGTAAGAACGCCTCGCATCGCTGGTATTCCTTCTGGTCAAATGCGTAACGAGCCTGGCCAATCAGGACGTCGGTCACACTGTCTGGGTCGTACTCCTCTGCCACACGCTGGGCAGAGTCCCAATCCTGATTGTGAACATACCTGGAGAACATGCACGCAGGTTTACGTTACATACCTACCGTGGACATTCTTTTGTTTCAAAACATCACCAAAAAAATCGTTTTAGCTACTCTGTGAACACTCTTTTGACCTGAACTTTTTATCATGATTTCCTTCAGAATTCCTCTTCATTTTGCGACCGATAAACCAAGCCCAGAAGTTGTCGAACACTGTTTAACAACATCAAACCACATCAAAGCTAAGCCCTGTTTAAACCAACTGGCTACGACAGGGAATGATGTACACAGCTGTAGGAAAAGTGGTTTCAGCCATAGCCTCAAACCCACTCACATCAGTACGGCTTCCTTGGGCTTCCCCGCCTTGATGAACGCAGCCTCGGCCTCTTGGTACTTCCCTTCGTCCTCCAGGAACATGGCGTGCTTCAGGGAGATATCCGGCATCTTGTTCTTCATGGCGGTCCGCGCAAGGTCAAAGGCAAAATCAAATGCGCTGTACGGAGGGAAGAGAACAATCGCATGGTTGGCATGCACTTCAACATACGTGGTCAACCAAACAGAATGCTACTTTACAACTTCGGAAATAAATCCGAAGGGAAATTGACAAGGCTCCCAATTTGACATGTATTGGAAAACTGACAAAATTTCAAGTACTTGGTCTTACAGAAATGTATAGCTACTGCAAACTGCTTGACAACAGTGACCTGAAATAAATAGGTTTAACAAATCAGAGGGCCTGGGATTTCAATCTCAGCAGAATATTTCTGCCGTGGAGAAAGCTTCTACGATTGAAACATTCTGTGATTATGTAGTTGAGGGTGTTTGCATCTCAAAGAATATATGGAACAACTCACCAGTTCTCTGTGGCGTAGTCGATGGCGGATTCCAGAAGGCCAAACTTTGTGAGAAGCTTGACGGCCGAATCGCCACCGAGGCTCTTCGCCCACAGATAGGCCACCTGCTTGGCTGTGTTAGCGACACCATGGTTCTTGGCAACCTGAGGACCAACAGCAAAGTCGAGACCCAATCCCATGAAACGAGTTTTAAAGATGTTTCTTGCTTGTTTGTTTTTACGAGAGATCTTTGCTTTGATGTATCTGTAATGAGTCATCAAGTCTCAGGCAAAGCAATAAATTATTCAAATTAACCGTGACAAAATCATTCTTTTGTCACCATATTCTCTGTGGATTTTGTGACTCGACCTGTGAAAGGACTCGTGACTGGACCAGTCAGAGGACTTGTGATGGGCTAAAGACAGCAATGGAATCCACATCTTCACAGATTTCAGTGCTCTTCCAACAAGACTCCTGCCATCTCCTGGTCAACCAACCATGGGGTTTTAGCATCAACAAGGTGTCACTTTTACGAGAAAGTAAGAACCACGATGTTCAAAGTGCCAATCCCACCACTTACCCTGTATGCCTCATCCCACAAATCTTGAGCCCTGTACATATTGATGGCGGCTTTCCAGTCCCGGGCTTCGATGTAGTGGTGCTCCGCTTGGCGGAAAGCCTGCTCTCCCTCCAGCTCCTACAAGACAAACCAAAACAGGCATAAAATCTGGAGATGTACCATCTGTTCCCTCGGCGGCTGGGCTGGAGCAATTTTTTTTCATTATTATGGTAAAGTGTCTTGCCTGTGGACATCCCTGCACAGCCACCAGACTGTGCACCGACTCACAATCTGAAGGTTAACTCACACTCTGCTTCACCGCACCAGACTGCAAAGCTATGGAGCTCCACATTCAAGTACGAGTCCATAGCAAGCCTGTAATGAAAACTTTGGTGGTCACTAACAAACAGTTCTAGTACTCAAACCTTAGCCAGATGGAGATGGGTGTCCTGGAGTAGATCTGGGTGATACTGCTTGACCAGGCGGATCATGTGATCGTACTGTCGTTGCTTTTTGTACATAGTGATGGTTAAGTCGGGCTCATCCACCGTCAAGTACAATCTATCAAGAAGATACAGTATTAATAACTGGGGCAAAGAACTTCCTCTTGGAAGTCTATCTCTTGGCAATAGAAGAATCCTGATTATAGAATCTTGGCAAAATCTGACAGATGAGATGATTCTTGCAAATTGGATGCCATTCAAATCCTGTACCTCCTCACTTTACAGTGAAATCTTCTGCATCTTCAGAGGAGTGAATTTTACACAATTCGGTCAACAACAAACACTCTTAAAGCGATGTCAGAAGGCGTTCAGTTATGTGCAAATTAATGACTAGGTCCATGTGATGTTCCAAAAACTATGATCAGGTAAGCCAGACAATGGATGAAATCCTTTCTTAATACTGTGAAATCCTAATGTGTAATTTGCTCCAAGTGGAACAACAGAGGGCGTGGTTTTTTTTAGTGCACACCACATAATAAACATGCCACGAGGCACGCAAGTATATACGCGTTTAACGCGGAGCACACTGAGTACGCGTACCTAATTTACTCCGGCATGTATGGTCTTTGCGTACACGCAGAACACGTGCAACTAACCCCCTGTCTTTCTCTTCGCTGACAGGGGGTGCACTTCAGCTCGGGGTGGATACTTGAAAAATGGCACACCTAAATTTCTACAACAAAAATGGCTTCCTACCTTTCCGCCTCTCGGAATTTGCCCTGGCTCTCCAACTGTTGGGCCTGGGTAACGTACAACACCGCAACCTCTTCGCTCTTCATGCAGGTTACGGCAAGCTGTTGCCATGGAAACAAACAGATATACATATTCATCAGCACAGTTTGAAGGGCTCAACTTGCCTAGGCCCATCTAGTCTAGATATAACACTGGCCTGCTGTTCAAAGGAAAATCGGACAAAAGTCAACTCATTTTAATGAAACCGTCAGCACTACACCCATCAAAAACAGGAAAAAAAAGAAAGATAAATGTACCATGAGAACAGGTTGCCAGTCTATGCTACCATAGATACCTATTTTGACAGTAACCCCTCGCCATGTGAAACCTTTTAATGAAATGGAGAGATGCGGAGATATTTTAAATGATTAATTTGAGTAACTGCAGAGACATGGAAAACCTAAAAGAACACATGTATTTAAAAGAAATAGTTAACATTGTAAGATGACACCATTTTGTCTCAGTCACCTTATGCGCCGCTTCCCACTTGCCGGCAGCAGTGTACATGTCGATGGCCTCTTTGGTCATTCCAGCCTGGACAAAATATCGCTCCGCCATCTGGTCGGGAAAAAGAAATGCAGTGCGTGATGTAACAGAAGGTTCTTTCAACTCATTTTGTGGGATTCTGAGTCAGATTTGCTGGTAAACATATATAGTTACTGGCCAAAAAAGCGGTAGTGTTGTACATTGCTTTGACCGGCTGCCAGCTGCACATATAAATTTCTTTGACCCTGAAAGTTGGAACCCACATCACCTCAACATTTTCATTTTTTTTATCCTGAGTCTTCAGGAATTTGTCCATCAATGCCATATGATCATTTAGACATCACTTTTATGAAGATCAGACATACTATTCTTACGATATGAATATTTTTGTTAGAGAGGTGGGTCCAACATGTTAACTTTGCCCATTTCAGTGTTCAATGCACAGGGCCGACATGGATTGAAGACGTGCATTGTAACCATAGCAACACAATTCTTTAAATCAAATTGAAACTGTTCTCATAATAATTGTCACTACATATAGACTAATCTGATTCGACATCATAACTGCGGTGGCACCGCACTCACACGCACATTCTTCAGCTCGATGCGCGCGTGTGTCTGGCAAATCACGACACCCTATTGGTCGAAGAGGCATGTAATGAGCGCGTACCACCTGTCCACGAGCGTTGTGACACCACGGTAATGGCTTCTAATTCTGGTGGTCGAATTACACTATACGCTGCGTTTCAAAAAGATTTAAGCCACGGCCCAGCTGTGACAAAATCTGAAAACCCTGACTCCTTCAGGGTTCAGCAATATTTTCTGATCCGCAAGTCTATGATAAAAATCGTTCCTGCCCACCTCGAAGTTTCTGATGTTGGCGTAGTGCTTGGCGATCTTCGGGTAGTACTTCTCACCGACCGTAGGGTCCTGGATCTCGATGATCTGGATGGCTTTATTCCACTGATGGGAATGAATGGCTGCCTCTATGGCCTTCTGGGAACAACTTCCAACAAAACCAAAACAGACGATACAGATAAAGTTTAATACAGAGTTTTAAAAAAGTAACCTTTACAGCATCTGCAATTTTGAGTCACTTAATTGTTTAATCTGTGCCGTAAACAAGATCTGACAAGTTGGTAAAGAATTCGACTGCGTATTTGGCACAGCGCTGCAAAGTCAAACTGGCCTTTTTGCCATTACCTGCAAATCAGTAAAAATCGACCGAGACAGTCATCAGGTATGACGTAAAAGATGACTTGACATTCCGGGACAGTGATAAGTTTGCAAGTCCATGTTTTTGGAATGACCACGTTTATCTGTCACCACGTATTATGGGCATTTTCAACGCAGAGATGAACCCCACAATTATGTCTGAATGGTTAATCACAAACTGGACTGCAGTGATAGAAGTAATTCAACTCAAGAATGAGGAACGTCAACATGATGACATTCAGAAATCGATACGTCCACCTAGCTTACCCAGCTTCAATGTAGTGGTTGATGGCGGCGTCCATCTGTTTCTGAGACACCAGGTAGTCGCCCCATTCTTCCTCCAAACGGACCACTTCGGTCGGATAGGACGCCCGCGCAAGCTCCACGGCTGAAAAAGAACGGCGCAGACAAAAATTAGCAGCGTGTGTCATGCAAACTGCTTCTCTAATGAACGATAATGTAATCAGTGGTTTTCATTTGATTTCATGCTGAACTACAGAGGGCGCCGTCTCAGTTAATAAAGACGATAAATGGAAAGAGTTTTGCTATCAACATGGGTGTTCATTTTAAGATGTACTTTGCGTCGGGGACATGTTAATTTTAATTATGGATTTGCCCTTACACCGAAGTATATTAATTAACACTGTATGCTCAGTACTGTCCGAGAGCTAGTGATAAAAATTCACAAGCTCACTGGGTGGGGCTCGAACCCACGACCACCTGCTTACGAGTGCAGACATCTTAACCATTCGACCACCGAGCTTGCCAGGGTCAGCTGGCCAGTCCGCGCCAGATGTCCAAATCGAATGAACGTTTGGTTTCCTCAGATGAAGACCTTAAACTCTATACCGCTTCCCTCCAACAGGCCAAAGTGTGGAGCATTTTCAAGTGGTACCAATAACGAACATTTGAAACCGATTACGTAACTCAAGATGCAGCGAAAGGCGGTAATAAAAAGTGAGACTAGGCAAAACGGCCCAAGCGCACCTGAGAGGGACAGGCTAGAAAAAAAAATGTCAAAATCTCAGTCATTTTACCTCGCCTGAAGGATTTGCCTCTGCGATAACACTCCAGGGCTCTCTGGTCGTCTCTGGTCTTCTCAAACAAATCACCGGCCTGTTGAAAGAAAAACAAAAGGACCTCTTCGTCATCAAACAAACTCAATCGCTACAAAGCCCAAACCTCCCCCAACTATTACTCCCCATGCCGCCCCTACTTGCTCCAGAACTTTAGAGGTTTATACATTCGTCGCTGAATGTAACGTCATCAAAAGAAATGCAAGTGCTAATGGATTAGATAACACGTCAAGAAGGACTTGTGTCCATTAATATCTTTCCACTCATCAAACAGGGATGAAGGCTGGCTCTCAAAACTTCTGCCTGAAATGTGACACACATAGGAAATGTTTACAAGCTTGCATAGTTCCCGTGTCATCAAAACGTAGAAAATGGCTGAAATCTGGCTACTCTAGAGAGAATCACATCCTTGAAAAAAAGGTGATGAACAGATTCAATCAAGCAAGCTGTTGCTAGCTTTCAAAACAAGATTAAAGATATCAAGCTGAAAATTTTTGTTTTCTTTTGTTTGGTGTGTTTAGGGAATTTACGGGCATTTTTTCAAGCAAATCAGAGTCACATGGCCACGTGGCGGTACCCCGATTTCGTAAGACTTGGCTTGGAAGGACAAACTATTCTTTCATGGATTCCATCGGCTTCCAAACATGGCTCGTTCCTCGTCAACCCACCCGTTCGTAGAATTCTCCCTTGATGAGCGCTGCGGCGATCCTCTGTATCAGGTCTCTGTTTTCCATCAGGTCCCCGCGGCTCGTGGCCAATCTGGCAGCCCTGGCGGGCATGCCGGCCTTCATGTACAGGTTGATGGCAGCGTGGTGGTCCCCCTCGTTCTCCTTCATCTCGCCTGCCTTCTCCTCTTGGCCGGTGTCCATCAGCCACTGGTAGTAGTTGCGGCGCAGACTCTCCAACTCAGGATGACCCTGGAGGGGTTAAAGGTCAAAGCCTGCGATTAGGACTTAATGTGGAGATCTTGGGATACGCGCTTCAGAGAAATTATGAAAGCACTGTACATCGAGTGCTCTTAGGAGATATTGTGAAACTGAACCCACGATCACCTGCTCACTCGTGCAGACACCAAGATTGATGGGGTCAGCTTAGAAGTTTGAATCTAATACACAATTAAAATCTCTCAAATTAACAAATTTCTGAAACAAAAAGTTTTGGGAGATGAGGCCGCCCATACCTTAGCTTCAGCCACAGCAATTGCCTCGTCCCATTTGTGGAGTTCTTGGTACATCTCCATGGCTTCGTCAATGTTATTCTGAGTTTAAAAAGTGCGAAAAACTTTAAACTTCATTGGTTTGTCAGTTATCTGCTCCACTGTCAACACTCATTTCGAGTTTGCCAACTTCACTTAAAAAAAGTTTGCAATGTCTAAGCTCAAATACAAGATGAAAGTAAGTCAAGGTATAGGTTTGGACTTTGGACGAAAATGCCTTCTTGGAGGAGCCTCACCCAACACATCTCAAACTTCCACGGTGTGAAGTGCTTTTAAACATGCAACAATATCGCATGCAAACTGACAAGGGCTATCACTTCCATTACACACAGTAGGGTCCCACCTCCTCAACTTGAGACTATTGAAGACTGATAGACCAGACTTACAGCTCCCTGTTTCCAAAAATAAGCCATCTTGAAATGGATGGGTTGCGAGTGGTTCAGACACTTTAAGTCTGAGCTCACCAGCATCATGACCACCCAAAGTTGTGGTCAAGACTACAATGTCAGCCAGCAAGTGACGGACTTCATCATGCAACCCCCGGTTCGTATCCAGATGGGAACATCTTACCTGCTCCAGGAATACGGACTCTGCCTCCTTGAAGTCTTTGTTCAAGATGGCCAGCTTGGCTCGGACAGAGTAATGCCGAGTCCCGTCTCCACCCTGGAATGAAGGAAAACGGTTGATGTATGTTAGGAACGAGGGACTGCTTTGTGAGACTATTTGCGGGGGGTACTGCTACGAACGGTTACGGTGGTAGGAGCCCCAATTGCAATGTCACACTTGAAAAGTGAATACAGATCTCAAGGATGACGGCAATTTAAGAGGTGAGGGTAGGTGTGCCTGAGTAAGGATGTAAAGATTGCCAGAGTCAAGTTGTGCTCTTTAGGTTGAACACAAACTCCAGGACTCAGTCAACCATTCAAAAGACAGGTTGTGTCTGAAACAGGCTTTGTCATCACGTGCCCACGTATCTGCAACCCGTGATGACTTGGAGCTAGTTCGAGATGCAAGATTCGGAGGTAGCCTTACTTTTTGAAATCACACCAAACGATGCATAATGAAGCACTTGACAATTTCAAGGTCCCAACTCACGATTTCCTGGGCCAGTTCTGCCGCCATCTTGTTGACGTTGCGTAGGTACCTGGCCTTGGCCACATCCCCCAAGGCAGCGAAGCAACGCTCGGCAATGTGAAGCTGCTTGGCCTCCAGGGACAGACGGCTCAATGTCTTCCACATGGCCTCCGTTTCACTGGTCATCTCCAAGGTCTCCAGAAACGCCACGGCCCTGAAAAGGGAGAAATTTTACATCTTATTAGACAGCACGCATCTAACCACACGAGTAGGCCTGTCCCTGTTCCTACAGTCTGGTCTAGATTTTAAAATGGAAGTCACATTTTTGTAGTAGCCCCTTCCTCGCCTTCTGCCAATGCCACCTGGGTTCGAATCCAACCTAAGTCAGCATGTGAAATGAGTTTTCAGTCCCTACCTGATTCAATCGGTTTTCCCTGGAATATTTATCCGAGGTTTTCCTCCCACCTCTAGAACTGACCTTTTCTTGTGTTCATACATGTAGTTGTCGCTACATCTAGTACTTGGCACTACGTGAGCTCTTAGATGAACGGAAATAAATACATTTTGGATCCAGTCAAAGTATAATTGGTTCTGGTCTGATATTGCAACATAACGAGAATCATGCAGGCCAGGGAAGATCCCACAGGCAAGGTGGAGCGAACAGCTAGAGTGAACCACAGTTATCTAGTTGACAGTAAAGAACCAGAACCCGAGGCACGGTTGCAGGACTGGTTATCAATGGCCAGAACAGTATGGCAGGAACCATTCACATGACAATAATTGACATGTCATCAACCACATTTGGACACAACCCGATACTTCAGATTTTCACCACTGTTAGGTTATATCTGTGAGTCCCAATATGTCTTTTTCAGTTGTACCTTGTGAAGTCGCCATCGTCAATCGCTGTGCCGAACTCAATCAGTCCTTCATCCAGAGTGTAGGATATGGTTGCTACTCCTTCAGTCACAATGACGTCCGTTTTGCCGTTAGCTCTCTCTAAATCAACGATGTCTCCCTGTGGGTGAAAGATTCAAACAGGCTTGTCCGGCTTATTTTTTGTTCAAGTGGATTTTAAGGCTCTAATCTCACATTACGTGAAACTTCCATTAGCCAAAACCTCTGAATGCTACTCACCAGTTGCATCCTGACTGGATCGGCAGTTAGTAATTATAAGATAAACAATCACCCTGGCACCCACTTCCCCCAAGGCCAATGTGAAAATTGCCCCGTCAATCACGGCACACTGGCTGGAACCCGCTGATGGTGTGAAATAACGGAACTGCTCAGGAGCACGGGCAAAGTTTGACTGTTTTGTTATATAATTTCTCAGGATGTATTCGGTCGATTTTTATGATTCAAAGCTGCTTACCCAATAATTTGTGACACTTTTCCCAATGCCATACAGTATAAGCAAGAATCTAGTGGACTTTTGTCGATTTTTTTGTCAGCAAACTGACAGGCACTGCCATCACCGACCACCTGTTCACACTTCATTAACTTTTGATCAGATAAGAAACATCGGAATGCAAACTGCTCTATCCAAAACCAGTGGATACCAACCAGAGTTTGTCACAGGCAAACTTGGGTCTGCTCCAAATGGGTGATTCAAGTAATGCCCCACCTTTAGGATCTTTTCCCAACCCCCCCCCCAACCATTTTGACCCCTGTACCTTGATGCTGAACATGGTGCAACGTTCAGGATGGTCGATGTTGTACCACACGCAAAGGTTGCCACGATTTTGCGCAACGACGACGTCGCTCTGCGGAACCCACTGGACGTAGCTGGAGTAGTTGAGAATAGTGGTCTTCGTCTGGGTGTCTATGTCAAACAGGTGCAGCTGTGCAAAGACAAGGAAAGAGCTGTTGAAGTAATTTTGGTTCATTTTTTGTAGACTTGCTGGGCGATACCGTGACAAGCTGTATCAATTCACACTCTCAAGTGGAGAAAGGTAAATTGGGTCAAATGGATTGCCCAAGGACACAACACAGCCAGATTCTAACTCCTGAAGCTTGAATCATGAATCGTAAACCCTAAACACTACGCCTCATAACAGCTTGTTGGGCACTAAGATAATCATACAAAAGAAACTCAAAGCGACAAGATTACAGGCTGCATTCTCCCAGGAAGCAGCGACTACTGAGTAATGAGTTGACTTGTCAAGAGGATGCTTACTCGGAGTCGCTTGTCGCGGAAGAGCAGTTTCCTTCCAGTCTCGTTCAGCTCCAGCCAGTCGATCTTGGAGTCATGCGTCAGGGTGGCGATGTTGAAGCCCATGATCAGGTCCACGATGGAGATGGTCTTCAAGTCCACGAGGTATGCCATCTTCTTGTTGTCTTCAACGCCGAGCTGTTTACGTTCGTTCAGTCGGACGCTGTTGGCAAGAAGCAAAACCAAAGGATTTTGATAATCAAGACTGAAGTCTGTCAACCGCTACAAGATACAGCAGGCCTGGCCAGTGTTTGACATCTTCAATAAGACTTTTCTTAAAGGGTTTCTACAGATGTATGTCTTGTTTGATATCCAAAAAGTTAACATCACTAAAGCGTCTCAGATCTGACAAAGTACTCAAGGGCAGGCCACACTTTACCTGATAAGATGAGGATTCATGAACTCGGTGCGAACACATCCAAGGATCTCGTTGCACCCATACTCAACGAGACTCAACTCACCAGCGTTGAATATCATGCACACCTTGAACAGACAAAAGGATCAAGAATTTTAAGCTGAAGTTTCTTAAAGTCAGAGTCATCCAAACCAGTGCAAACGTATACAGAAGTGCTTATTCAACCTAACTACTGCTGATTTTTTACCCAGCAAGTTTCCCAAATTTGGCAAAATCTTACACAGCAATCGCATGGTATATTATTTCAAGTTAAAAAAAAAACTTCACTGGCAAACTGGCCGTACCGATTCATTCTCAAAGAAGAACTTTTCATTTCCCCCGGTGTTCTGCCATGGAACTTCACTGAGTTTGTTGGTGGACAGGTCACCCAGCAGTAATGTGTCCGTGGTGTGAGCCACGAGATAGCGATCTTTGCCAAGGATCCGAACTTCATCCACCTGTGTAAGAAGCATTCAACCGATTTATTTAGCTGACAATTGAAAGCCTTGAACCAGTGCTATATCAAATCCATCAAAGTCCTCACCAGTCCAATATAAGTCTTCACAAGGCCAATAAATGTCATAACAAGTTCAATATAAGTCCCCAAAAGTCCAATGTAAGTCTGCACAACTCCAATAAAAGTCCAAACAAGTCCAACAAGTCATCACAAATCCAGTACAAGTCCAATTTAAGTCAGCATAAGTCAAATAAAAGTCCTCAGAAGTCTACCATTTGTCCTCACAAGTCAAGTACAGGTCCCTTAGGTCCATACAAGTCCTCACAAGTCATTGCGTCACAAGTCAAGTCACAGAGTTTTGCCAATACTCACCTCATACCCATAGTGGGACTTCAACACAACGCGGGTTCCTGACGACAGGTTTTTGACAATGACCTGGGACAGGCCCACGTAAGTCATCTCAAACTTGTTCTTGTAGATGGCTCGACGGAGACAACAGTCAAACAACTCCACGCCCCCGCACAAGGTGCCCTGGAATATTACATCAGAATGAAAACCCCTATTAACCCCTTCACGGCGGGATTATTTTGACCCCTGACTGCTGGGCTG